TTTTGTATCCTGCAACTTTACTGAATTCATTTATTAGTTCTTCTGACAGATTTTTGGTGGAGTTTTTAGGATTTTCTGTATATACGATCATGTTGTCTGCAAACAGGGACAATTTAAATTCTTTGTTTCTAATTTGGATGCCTTTTCTTTCTCTCTGTTGCCTAATTGCTCTGGCTATCAAGAGAATGATTATTTTCGTTTCTTTTTTTTTTTTTTTTTTTTGACACAAAGTCTCACTCTGTTGCCCCAGCTAGTGTACAGTGGCATCGTCATAGCTCACTGTAGCCTCCAACTCCTGGGCTCCAGTGATCCTCCTGCCTCATCCTCTTGAGTAGCTGAGGCTACAGGCATGAGCCACAATGCCTGGCTAATTTTTCTATTTTTAGTAGAGATGGGGTCTCACTCTTGCTCAGGCTGATCCTCCCACCTCGGCTTCCCAGAGTGCTGGGATTACGGGCATGAGCCACCACAGCCAGGCCAGTTATTCCTTTTTCCCCCCTGATGTGGAGGTGGGGCCATATCCTGATGCCAGTGTGGTCAGCTAGTTTGTTGGGTCAGGGTATAGATTGCTCTCAGCAAGCCAGGTGGAAGAGGCTCCTAGGCACATCTTTACTGAGGATATTTGTCCAGAGGAGAAATATATTTTTGCCATCAGTTTGGAGTTGAACTTGATGTTCCTGGGAACGATTAGTTGGTAATCAGAGGCATTTTGTTCTGTTCAAGGATTCTTTGCTCCTCCTTCCCTGTGCCCAATCTCTACCGGCCTCCTATTCTGTGACGATGGTTCAGTGGAGGAGACTTTGCCGGCAGCATTACCTGTGGGCCCTGGGCTGCTATACGCTGCTGGCCATTGTTGCTCTGAAACTTTCTCTCAGATTAAAATGTGACTCCGACCACCTGGACCTGGAGTCCAGGGAATTTCAAAGCCAGCACTGTAGGGATATCTTGTACAAGTCCCTGAAACTGCCAGCAAGGAGATATATCAACTGTTCCGGGATCACCCGAGGGGACCAGGAAGCAGTGCTTCAGGCTCTTCTGAGTAACCTGGAGGTCAAGAAGAAGCGGGAACCTTTCACAGATGCAGACTACCTCCGGGTGACCGGAGACTGTGAGCGCTTTAAGGCCAAAAGGAAGTTCATACAGTTCCCACTGAGCAAAGAAGAGTTGGACTTCCCTATTGCATACTCTATGGTGGTTCACGAGAAGATTGAAAACTTTGAAAGGCTGCTGCGAGCTGTGTATGCCCCTCAGAACATATACTGCGTCCATGTGGATGAGAAGTCCCCAGACACTTTCAAAGAGGCAGTCAGGGCGATTACTTCATGCTTCCCAAATGTCTTCATTGCCAGTAAACTGGTCCCGGTGGTTTATGCCTCCTGGTCCCGGGTGCAGGCTGACCTGAACTGCATGGAGGACTTGCTCCAGAGCTCAGTGCCATGGAAATACTTCCTGAATACATGTGGGACAGACTTTCCTATAAAGACCAATGCTGAAATGGTCCAGGCCCTCAAGATGTTGAATGGGAGGAACAGTATGGAATCAGAGATCCCTACTGAGTACAAAAGACTGCGCTGGAAATATCACTATGAGGTGAAAGACACATTGTACATAACCAGCAAGAAGAAGGACCCTCCCCCTAATAATTTAACCATGTTCACGGGGAATGCCTATATGGTGGCTTCCCGGGACTTTGTCCAACATGTCTTAAAGAACCCCAAATCCCAACAACTGATTGAATGGGTAAAAGACACCTACAGCCCCGATGAACACCTCTGGGCCACCCTTCAGCGTGCACGATGGATGCCTGGCTCTGTTCCCTACCACGCCAAGTATGACATCTCAGACATGACTTCCATTGCCAGGCTAGTTAAATGGGCGGTGTATGAGGGAGACGTCAATAAGGGGGCACCATATGCACCTTGCTCTGGAATCCACCAGCGGGCTATCTGTATTTATGGAGCTGGGGACCTGCATTGGATGCTTCAAAACCATCACCTGTTGGCCAACAAGTTTGACCCAAAGGTAGATGATAATGTTCTTCAGTGCTTAGAAGAGTACTTACGTTATAAGGCCATCTACGGGACTGAACTCTGAGACACACTGTGAGAGAATTGCTACTTGTGGGGCAAGAGACTGTACAAACATGCCCAGAACTTCCTGGGACACCGTGGGCTGGGAGACCAGGGCTTTGGAATCCATGACATCCCCTAAGATGGGGGCGCTGCTATTGAGTGTAAGTAGATCTGCTGCTGCGGGTGATGGCGACTGTGCTCACACCCCAGCCCCAGGAGTTCCTGCACTGCCGTTCTCACAGAGAACGGGAGCCGCTGTTATTTGGGACAGTAAGGGAGGGATGCGTGGCAGAGGACCCTGGGTTTCAGATGAATGCCTAGTGGCAATTTTTCTGCTCTGTGGAGAGCCTGTTCATAATAATTCTAGGCTTGGCAGTGTGGAGGGGGACTTTGATGGAAAGGGAGGCTTCCCTTTTGTTCTGTTAACTAAAAAATAAACAGCTCCTGATTCAAAGTCCTACCTCTACTTTTTACCTAATACACCAGAAATAATATAAACATAAAATATGTGAGATTTTTTTCTCACAACTCTTGGTGACATTTAAGATCTCTAGTGGCTGGCAAGAGAGGCCTCATTATTCTGAAATGGTCTGGGCAACCTGTATGAATAGCAAACTAAAAGCATATGGAAGAACAGAGCTGGTTCTTCGTTACTGAAAGCCCTCCTCCTTTTGTTTATGAGGTTCATGACTTCTGTAAGGGAAGAGGTGGGTGATTTAGCCAGTTTGACCACCCGTATCCTTCTGGGAAAATTGTGGCACCAGTGTTGTCAGCTTCACAGTCAAAGCTTAACTAACGTTCCATAGCAGAGACGATGGCCATTTAGGTAAGGTCGTATATAATTTATTGCGTAAAGTAGCACATATTTTAGTAGGGGAAAGGGCTGCACTGTTAATGATCATGTTGAGAAACAAAAATGAACTAGGACTGTCTAGCTAAGCCAGGATGTCTGTTTACTCCATGTTTAGGCCTCTTGAGTCAAAATTCTCTTATTTTAGTATGTGAATGGAAGGGTCATTATTTGTGAGTCTGCAGATTATACATTTCCTTGTGGGGAGACAATAATGTGCATAAATATATGTACATACGTATAGCATGTGTGTTTATATACGTATATACACACATGCACATACATACATTCCCCACCTCCCAAATGTTACCCGGTGAAACAGTTTCCTTTCTGAAGCTTTAGAGATAGCCTATTGGCTATTGGTCCTACTCTTCTGTGATGGACAAAGGATACTATGAAAATATAGGCAGCAGCCTTTGAATATAGTACAGCTGATCTGCATACAGTGTGCTCTGGAAAAGTAACTGATATGCAGGTTGATTCGTGTGACTTGAATGCTATTTCCATTAACATGTCATGATGTCATTAACGCGTTTCTTCTTTTCTAATTGGGATTCAATTAATCAAGTTTTCTTTCATGATCAACTTTCTCAATGCAACCCCTGTAACTCTGACCCAGTGACTTTTTTATTTATAAGTTCATGATTCTTTTTTGCAAGGCTGTAACTCCTTTGCTAATGGGCATTGCCACCACCAACTTGCCTGCACTGCGATATTGAGTTCTCTTCACCTTGCTCCCAGCCCCACCACGGAGACGACGCACGAATAGTCATATACGCAGTGGATGTGCCCTGTAAGGTCTGTTGCCACCAGTAGTGATCATGGACCTCCCCCTACCGGCCGACGTGACTGTCCTCAGCCCTTCTCTGAGGGAGATAGAAGGGGGTGCACTGCCATCGTAGGGAGACAGAAAAGCTTCCCTGAGTGCATGTGTTCTGAGAAAAGAACCCAGGTCTTTGGCCTCGTATTTAACTTATTTTAAGAGCTTTCATGTGAAATAAATTATAATTTTTCATATAAATAAATGAAAAAGATTAAAATGTGAACTTGTCATTTTTGGGGGAACAAGTTGCTGAAATTTTCTGAGCATTGAAATTTTCTTGAGAAATATATTCAGGTGAATAGGAAATGCTCTTTATTTAATAATATAAGGTCTTCATATCAGAGGGTCAAATTTCTCTCTTATTTGTGTAGTGTATTTTAGAAATCACACAATTAAACCAACACATCCATTGATTTTTTCCTTCCCTCTGAGTCATTTCTGTTTCTTTAACCTTTCTCTGGCAAGGAAAAATCTTATAAATGAATTGAGAAACTGTGTTTGTATTACCTCTCGAGGTTTGAATTTCCTCCTTATTTTTAATTTGTGGACTATTGGTGAGCGTTGTTTTAAGAACTATTTTTTTTTTTGTTGCACACTCTGTTTATTGTAATTTTTATTGAAGGTGGATATAAATTTTATTTATAGGATAGATATGTTACAAATACATAAAATCTTTATTTTCAATAGCATAACTTCTATTCCTGCCTAGAATGCAAATACACTTTGCTGGGTGATCCAGTGGCCTTTGCAGAGAGGTTTCCAAGACACGGGCCTCTGCACTGTCACCCTTGCAGTTATTTATAGGGCTCTGGCACTTGGTGGAAGCTGACTAATGGTGGCATGCCAAATGACACTGAGAACACTGCTGCTGGCCCCTAAATCATCCTCTCCAAGTCCATGCTTTGTGGGCCTTTCTCCTCCCTTCCTGGCCTGGACCACAGGAGACAGAATGCTTCTCTTTGGTTTTTGGCAGACATGGCCAAGGTCCCCCTCAACGCCTGTTTCAGTGAAGGAGAGGGGAAGTGATGCTTGCCATGAGCCAGTCCCTGTGCTAGGGGACTTACCTTAAACCCTTTGAACTGAGCGGGAGGCAGGCAATTGTCATCCCTGGCTCGAACAGGAAGAAAACGAGACACAGAGGTTATATTCCTTCTCTCCGAGCTAGACACTGATACCTGGCTAATAGAGGCCTGGTATACGTGACTCAATGGCCCTGCCTTGTCCCCAGCACTCTTCACAGCTGTTCAGTTAATGCCACTTGCTTTTCTTTATCCCGCTTCACTTTCAGTAGGCAGCGTGATCTGAGTGCAGGGAGGAAGCAGGAAGTGCTCCCAGGACCAGGGCTGGAGCAGAGCCGGCAGGCCCCAGCCTGCTTGTGGGATACGTTATCCTCCTCTCAACCTCCCTTTCCGTTTCCTAGCTGGTAAAGTGAGGACCTTAGGGCCGAGTCTCCCAGGCTGGCATGAGGGATCGATGGGACAGCTCAGGAAAGGGCTGACCCCTGCCTGGCATGTACGAAGTGTCTGGGTGTTGGCCCCGTCACTGCTTCTTACAAGTTCTCTCATCTTGGACAGGTCACTTCATCTCTCTGAGCCTCAGTTTCCTTGTCAGTGAGGTGAGAATCGCATCTTCCCAGGACTTAAGTTCCAGGGCCCCGTCCACGACCTGGGCAATCAAATGCTTCTCCAGAGGGACTAGAGCCAGTCACAGGACCCAAAAACAACATTGCAGCTTTTTCCTTCCAGCAAGCGCCACCTACTGACCTCGTTGTAATTTTGTTCTCTTGATTGAGTGAAATTTTTTTAAGAAAGGAAGAAAAGACAGTTGATAACCTTGTTTGGGAACATATGACATAATTTATTTGGCAAGATCAAGTATTTTGATTAAAAATGGAAAGAATGATTAAATGCCTTCCCTACTTGCCTGCTTTAAGTATCTTAATTGACCCAAAGATCCGGTCTTACTTCTTGCATTTAGTCCGTCATTTATTTATTACAGAGATGAATAAGATGTGCTTCCTGACTCTATGAAACCTGAGCGTGCTAATAGGCAATGAAATAACTTATTCATCAATTCCACGCATATTAATTA